TCCGAAGCACCTGTGTAATTATCCTACTAAAATTAACTTGACACTTCAGGGTATGAGTCAGCAGTAATTTGGTGTTAATGAAACACACTTCAATAATGGATGGTGGTGTGATTTCCTTTCAAAGATTTGAAAAGTTCTCTAAAGGCAAGAGATTATGGTAGATGTTGATAGAGAAAAATGAGTGATAAAATATTCTCTGAAGAGAAAAAACTCCTTTTTTAAATATAAGGGTAAAAATGCTCAATAAGGATTTGGGGATCTCACATACACTCATTTGTTATGATTCAAGTCAAACTGAGTACATATGGTGAGAGTGATCACTGTGGGACGAAGCTCGTCCCAACTCCCACACCTCAAGTTTGCTGCCTTCTTTGGGGAGAAATCTTCTTTGCCCTACACCAGGACTTTTGCGGTCCCCAAAGACTAGACTTTTGTGCCTCAGAGCCACAGCACTCCAGGTGCCAGATTGCATGTAGTCCAGCAAACGGTTTCCCTTGCATATTGATCTGAACATGTCTGCAGGCCTCAATTCACTTTGTAAGGTTCAGGTGAAAATGCTCCCTGTCTATGAATTGTTATTCTTTTGGCACAGGGAATCCATACAGGGACACGTGAAAGTTACTCTGTGCTCAATTTGAATTTCTAGTTTTGTAATAACTTTCATTAATAGCACCATGTGGGAGACTTGCTGGTGAGTGTATGTGGGGCCACAGATGATCCAGACAGTAGAGGCCACCAATGTTCTGAGCACCTGGCTGTATTGCACAGTTTAGCAGATGACTTGCTCTCTTCTCTGCCTCACTGGCTGCATAGTCGGTGATTGGCAAACCTTTGGATGTTTGTGTCTCTTTTTGTCAAAGTCTTCTTAATAAGTTGGTTACAGTAGTGGCCCCATTTCTGTTGTTGATTGGTGTATTTGCTAGCAGGCTTCTGCCATGAGATAGCATTTAAAATACTACTATTAAATTAAATAATGCAGTATTTTTCTATTTTGTCTGAAATTTATTCTACTTTGTGAATTCAGTGTAGGTATCCCACAATTTAGTCTATTCTTTCCATTACTATTTCTATTTCTATCATTTCCTACAGGCGGCAAATCAAACTAGTCGATATTTCTTTTCCAATGTTAAGATTTTTAAGTCCGTTTTGTGAATTAACATCAGAGACCTTGCCATAAACAAAGACCTTGCCAGACATGGTGGCACATGCCTTTAGTCCCAGCACTCGGAAGGCAGAGGCAGGTGGATCTCTGTGAGATAGAGGCTAGCCTGATACACATAGGGAGTTCCGGTTCAGCTGGGGCTACAAGGAGCCCCTGTCCCAAAAAGATGTTTAGAACTTTGAAAGAGTTCATAAGAAAACTCAGTGTTGAAATTTTCCCTTTGTTCAAAAAAAATATGTGAAATTTTTATTTTTGCTAATAAGTACTCTTTGAAATGTCCTTTAATTAGTTTATTTATTTTTTATGTATATGAGTGTGTTTGCTTCTGTGTACGTAAGTGTACCTGTGTCATGAAAGCCCACAGTGGTCAGAAGAGGGCACCATATCCTCTAGATCTGGAATTATGAATGGTTGTTAGCTACCATGCAGGTACTGAGAATCAAACCCAGGTCCTCTGGAAGAGCAGCCAGTGCTCTTTTATCTGTTGAGCCATCTTTCCAGCCCTGAAATGTCCTTTGATATGTTTATCACCAATGGGGCCGCATGCTTACAAACATGCAGGCAAAATACCCATGAACATAAAATAAAAATAAAATCTTAAAAAAAATTGTTCACCAAGGCAACTATAAAACATGGCCTACTAATTGGTCTACTTTATTTTTTATTATTTATTTATTTATTTATTTATTTATTTATTTATTTACTGTCTTTTGGGGACAAGGTCCCCCTGTAGCCCCAGCAGGCCTGGAGCTCACTATGTAGGCCAGGCTGGCCTTGATCTTACAGAGATCTGCCTACCTCTGCCTCATGAGTGCTGGGATTAAAAGTGTGCACCATGACGCCCGGTTCTAACTAGTCTACTTTCATTAAGTAGTTTTTAAATGAATCTTTTTCTGTCAGTGAGCCCAGATTTGTACCAACAAAGTAATGAAATAGAGTTTTGTCTTCCATAAATGAAGTGACCAGGAAAAATTATCTCTAGATTAACCAAGTATTCCTATGACATTTTTAGTTAAACATGACAATAGAATCATTTGTTTCTTTTTGAACAAATTATATTTACAGAGCTATTTTCCATGACTGGCAGCCCTTTTAAAAACAAACAAAGACAGAAAACACGATGCAGTGTTAGGTTTTATTTTAAAGATTGTGATATAAAAGCTTGACTAGAGAAGCTCTAGAAAACAGGTTAAAAATCATTTTTCTTCTTTGTTTTAAAAATAAGCAGGTTCAGATCCACAAGGCTGAGAAGGACAAGGCTACAATACACCAGAAGTGGGTGTTAATGAAATCGTGAGCACCGTGCAATGCCCTTGGCTTTATTCACTCTCCAAAGCAGAGTGGTGGCTTTGAATCAATGTTGTCAGTGGTGACTAAGCTTGACCCATTTAGAAATGCTTATTTCATAATTCCCCATCTATGGGGGCTGCACAGTGTGAGTACAGTGCTAGTGGTAGTGAGCTCTGCATCTGAATACATTTTACAGGTTTATGACTTTTAAAAGGAACATCCCTAATCTTTTAGTAAAATTAAATGTTTCTTTTGCTAATTTCCATCAGAGAAAACTTAATCTAAAGGATTATCAAGTGAGAGTTGTTTGTCAAAAATCAGGGGGAGGGACTGCCTAGAGCCAACTAAAATGAGAACACAACTTATCAGAGCCATTGGGAGACAGCAAAGGCAGACCCAAGGGGAAGGTTTACAGCTCTGAGAACTTACATTAAAAAACCAGAGAGAGCTAATAAGGAACTTAATTATGTACCTCAAAAAACTAAGAAAAATTAATGAAAAGCCAAAAGAACACTACAAAAATACCTAGCAATGAGCCTAACCACAGAAGAGAAAAGCATCTACTATGAAAACTTTAAGACACTGAAGGCAGGCTGGAGAGATGGCTCAGCAGTTAAGAACACTGATTGTTCTTGCAAAAGACCCAGGCTCGAATCCCAGCACCCACATGGCAGCTAACAACTGTCTGTAACTCCAGTTCTAGGGGATCTGACGGCCTCTTTTGTCCTCTGTGGGCATTGCACAACATAGGTGCACTTACTTACATGCAGGCAATACACATACACACATAAAAAAAAAATAAAATATGAAAAAAAATTTTAATTGAAAAAGACACTGAGGAAGGAAAAGAAAACACTACAGGAACAAAAGACTGCCTGTGCTCATGGATTGGCAGAATTAATATTGTAAAAATGGCTATATTACCAAAAGTGATCTACAGATTCAAGACAATAGCTTAAAAATGCCAATGACATCCTCCACAGAAATAGAAAAAAACAATTCTAAAATTAACATGGAAGCACAAAAGACCCTGAGTTGTGAAAGTTATCCTAAGCAGAAAGAGCAATGTTGAAGCCACCACAATACCTGATCCAAAATTATATACCACAGAGCCGTAGTGGTATATAACAAAAACATCATGCACTGTCAGAAAGCAGATGTGTAGATGTAGTGGAGAATAGATAGCCTTCTCTTCAAATAATGGTCCTTGGAAAACTGGATTTTCACACATAGAACAATGAAACTAAATTCATATCTTTCATCCTGTGTAAAAACAATTCCAAATGAATCAAATACCTTAAAGTAAGACCTGAAACTTTGGAATTGCTAGAAGAACACATAGAGAAAACACTTCAAGATGTGGTTATAGGTGAAGACTTTCTGAAAATGACCCCAATAGCACAAGAATAAGCCCAAGAATTCACAGCTCAGATTACATGAAATCAAAATGCCGCATTGCAAAGGAAACAAACATCAAAGCAAACAGTCTACAGAGTATGAGAAAACATTTGCTAACTACACATCAAGCAGGATATTAAATGTAGAACCTATAAAGTACTGTAAAAATTAGACAGTACCAAAGAGCACCAGAGAAGCTTCGTCATGCAGCAGATGGTGATTAACAGAAAGCCACAACTAGCCAAAGTGCAGAGAAAAAGAGACTGCAGAGTGCTGACCCCTGAATAGGACACCTAGCTCAAACCTCTGCCAACCAAGGCTCAGGGACCATTCTGGAAGAGGGGGCAGAAAACTGTAAGAGCCAGAAGTAGTGGATGACCACAAGACCAGATAGCTAGGAAGTTACTCATATGAACTTAGAGCAACGTTAACAGCACACACAAAACCTATTCAAACTCAAACCAGACAAAAACCTAGCACAGAAGTGGGGAAATGGGCCAGAATCCCAACCTTAGCTAAGGAACTATTAGCAACTCTTCCTCCTAGGAAAGGGAGAGTTGGTTTTCTTTAAGAGAGTGACACTAGACAGGATAACTAGGCTCCAATGGATGGACTCATGCAGAAGGACATTTAGACACAAACTTGGCTTAATAGGCCTTAATATATATGATATTATTCATGAAATCCAGTGGGGGGGGATATAAGAGTGGTCCAGTTAGGAGAGGGAGTCTAAATATGATCAAAATATATTATATGGAATTCACAAAAATTCAATAAAATAATTTCAAAAGAAAGGTATGGAACTGAATAGAGAAATCTCAAAAGAAGAAATACAAGTGACCAACAGATATTTTTTTTAGTAGTAAAGTAACTTTATTGACCGATGAAAAACTAAAGTGATAAGAAGATTGGACAGTAAACAAGACTCATTGAGTTCTGCTGGAATTCTGTATTTTTTATTTTAACTTTAAGCCACAAGAACATAAAATTGTAGACTATGCATGAGATAGTTGCTTTTAGTTCCTTCAACAAAAACACATGGTTTAGCGATTGGATAGCATTAAAGATGCACATTTTTTTCCAAAATCCTGTAAATATTAACTCTTGTGCTGACTTTAAAGGCTAATGTAATCACCTACAGTGGTCAGATTCAGTTTCTTTTCCCTTTTCTGCCAGCCTGGTATCTGGCTAATTCTGCCTGTAATACTTTTACTTTAGATCTTTCTTGTTCAAAAGCAGCATGAAATGAAGTCAGCTGTATGATTAGCTCATTCTTGATGCTTTGTGATTCCTCAAGTTGCAGAAGTATTTCTGCCTTATCTTTCATTTCTCCCTCCTGAAGCATCTTTAGTAATTGTCCATTTCTGGCCTTTACTTCTTTATACTTTGCTTCCCTCTGGGTGATCACAGTTTTGAACTTCTGAATTTCAACATCTTTCCTTTCGAGTTCTAACTTCAGTCTTTCAATTCTTAGAGCTATCTCCTGGTTGTATGCAGGAGCTGTACAATGATCTGTTCCACTGTATACTGTAAGTTGTTCTCTTCTTTTTTCCTTAATAAGAATCTTATGACTATCATCTTCCAGGCTATTGGAGAATCCTCCATCATGTGATAAAGTCTGGGAAGAACTCAATTCCTCAGTCTTTTTATTTATATGTTCTTCACATTGAAAATCTTTTAGTGATACTGTAAGAGGTTCTTTTCCCTGATGATTCTTTCTTTGATTTTTTTTATTTATAACTTTTGGCTGACTTGAAGCATTTTCAGCATTTTCATAACTCTTTTTGTGTTCTTCATATTCGAATTTACTTAGCAGCAATGCCCTCTCAAGACCAGCTTCAAACATTTCAGTTGTCAGCTGTCGGTCTCTTTGTCTCCACTGCTGCAGGTTTTTTGCTTGTGAATCCCTTTGTGCTGGGACTGGGGATGAAATGCAAATGGCGTGGGAGGATTTCTGGGGAATTTTCTTAAAAGCGAGATTTCTGAGCTCATTTGTTTCACCCGGTTGCTGTTCTTTCTTTCTTCTTCTTTTCTCTCTTTTTTTCTCATTTGTAGTTGATTTGTTTTCCAGAGTTTGAGACTTCCCAGTGTTCTGGCCTTCCTCTTTTCCGGGCTCCGAATCAGAATCACTGTCCACTTGCAACAGGGCAAAACGAGAGGCAGTTGTGAGAACAGAGCGAAGGACTGCTGACTCCATGGCACAAAATTCTCTTTTAAAATGCTTGTGTCAAGAATAATTCCTCATTCATGAATGAAAGCCAAATTCCACTTTTAACGCTGTTAACTGATACTCAAAGCAAAGTACACAGGCGAGCAGGATAGGACAACCTGGAAGCCACTCGCCTCCTCCCCGGCCTGGAAGTTGAGTGGAGGACGGGTGTGGGCACTAACGGGCCCGCCCGGAGGCGGGAGCGTGAGGGGCGGCGGGAGCCAGGCGGGGCTGGGCCTGTGCGCCTGCAGATTCTTTTCCCGAGGGCGCTGGCGTCGGGTAGAAGTCGGCGGGTGGTCGCCACCAACAGATATTTTTAAAGTATCTAACATCCTTAGCCCTCAGGGAAACACAAATCAAAACTATTTTGAGTTCCATCTCATCACAACCAAAATGGCTATCATCAGGCAAATGAACTGACAAGTTTTGGTGAGGATGTGGGAAAAGGGGAACCCTTATTCATTGTGGCTGGGAATATAAACTGTATAGCCACTGTGGAAAAACAGTATAAAAAATGTTTCAAAAAACTGAAAATAGAGCTACCATATGACTCAGCCATACCGCCCCTGGATATGTACTTGAAGGACTCTAAGTCAACACACCACAGAGATAGTCCACATCCACATTTATTGCTGCAATATTCGCAATATTGCTACAATGTTCACAATATTGCTGCAGTATTAACAATAGCCAGGATATGGAACCAACCCATCAACCGATGAATAGACAAAGAAAACGTGGGAGATATACACAAGGGGTTTTATTCAGCCCTAAGAAATAATGAAATTACATCATTTGTAGGAAATGGGTGCAACTAGTGATCATGTTAAAAGAGACTTGGAAAGCCAAATATCACGTTTGTTGTTTTTATTTTATTTTATATGTGTGAGTGTATTGCCTGCACGTATGTAAGTGCACCTGTGCTCCTCAATGCCCGAGGAGATCGGAAGACAGTGCTGGATTCCCCTGGAACTGGAGTTAGGCTGGTTGTTATCCACCATGTGGATGCTGGGAATTGAACCTGGGTCCTCCAGTGCTCTTAACTGCTGAGCCATCTCTCCAGCCCCATTTTTTCCTCATATGCAGACTCTAGATTTAAATACATATACAATATGTCATGAAAGTAGAAGGGGAACAAAATGGTGAAAGGATAAAGAAGGGAAAGTCAGGGAGTTTAATGGGGGAAGCAAAGGTAAAGTACCTTGTTTTCTTTCCTATGCAGAACCTACATTAACCTACATGTAGATATATATAGTTAAATAGAACATATATAATATATATGATATGAAAGCAGAAGGAAGGGTTTTTTGAGAGGTGACCAGTCGTAGGAGGAATGGGAGAGGGTAGTGGGGGTCAAATATGAGAAAAACACAATAATTATGTGTATATGTATATATATGAAAATGTCATCTGAAACTAATTTATTCGTATACTAAAAATGAATAAAGACTTTAAAAAAGGAAGGAAAAAGGTAAAGTGGAAGTTTCTCCCTGTCTCTTTTCCTCCCTCATAGTTTGATAATTTTCTTGATCGTGGTTCTATCATATTTGGTCCTGGTTGAAAACAGTATGGATTAGAGTTCCCACCTGAATTTTGATAGGAAGGTAGCATGACTGAAAAACAAACCTTTGTTGCATTATATCACTGTGATTTACAGCTGTCTGCTACTGCAGCATAATCCAGTCCAATTGAGTCTATTCAAGACTCAAACACCCAGAATGATCATTTTCTCAAAGTTTAGCAATATATGTGGAAAAGGACTCTATAGGTATGCTTTAAAAAAAAACAACTATTTTTATGTGTGTGAGTGTTATGACTGCATGTATGTAAGTGCACCTGTGCTGTGCAGTGCCCATGGAGGACAGAAGAGGGCATCAGATCCCTTGGAACTGAAGTTACAGAGAATTGTTAGCCTCCATGTGGGGCTGGGAGTCAAACCTGGATCTTCTGCAAGATCAGCCAGTGCTTTTAACTACTGAACCATCTCTCCAGCCCTCTGTCAGTAGCTCTCTTTAATTATTATTGCTAGCATGATTCTGTACTCGATGGGAAATGAAGAACGTCATAATTATCTGACTATTTATTTATTTATTTATTTATTTATTTAATTACTTACTTACTTACTTACTGTCTGTCTTGCTATGTAATCCAGACTAGCCTGGAACTTGAGATCATCTTGCCTCCACTTTTCTGAGTGCTAGAATTACAGGTGTATACCACCTCACCTGGCTTTCAATATTCTTTTAGAGGGTGCCATCCCCATCAAAATCTAAAATGTTTAAACTAGCAATTTCATTTGCAAAAACATCTTTTAGCAATATTCACAAAAGATCTAGAATCTTTACAGCATGCCTTATAATAAAAACTGAATGCATGACAATCAGAGAATAGCAAATGGAATGATATAGGCCTTTCATTTAATGAATTTCCTATATAGCTATTACAAAATATAGAGACTTTGCATTCCAACCAAGATATAGGAAAAGGGGATTGGGTTCATTTTCTATATGGGAAATAGAAACTGGACTTGATGAGTTTAAAAAGAATAGTCTCAGCACTCAGGAAGCAGAAGCAGGTGGATCTCTATGAAATTGAGGCTAGCTTGGTCTAGTGAGTTCCAGGCAAGCTGGGGCTACAGGGAAACCCTATCTCAAAAAGAAAACCCAATAAGTAAATAAATAAATATAATAAAGAAAACACAAGTTTGTGTAGGTAGGGAAGCAGGAGTGGATCTGGGAAGAGCTGGGGGAGGAGGAGTGAATATGATCAAAATACAATGCATGAAATTCTCAAAGAATTAATAAAATTACTTTTAAAATATAATAAAATAATTAGCAATAAATCACTAAAGCAGCACTTACAGGGATATTCATAGTGCTGAATAGCTGTTTTCAAATAGAAGGCCTCCACTAATGAACTCAGCTTCCTCCTTGAGAAACTGGAAAAGAACAGCAATTTACCCCCCCAATAAAAGAAAATAAAAGAGATCGATGAAATATAAAGCAAAAAGTAACAGAGAAAAGCAATAAAACAAAAAACTGGTTCTTAGAAAGGATTGAAAAATGGAACTCCTTTAGCCAGACCGATCAGGTAAAAAAAAGTGTACATAGAAGTTATCGATATCAGGAAGGGGAGGGATGATATGACTAAAAACACTAAAAGAGGGGCTAGAAACATGGCTCAGTGGTTAAGAGCTCTGGCTGCTCTCACAGAGGGCCTGGGTTCAGTTCCCAGCACCCATATGGTGCTAACAACCATCTGCAATTCCAGTTCCATGGGATCTGACACCCTCTTCTGACCTCAAGCACTGCTCAACATAGGTGCACTTAAATGCATGCAAGCAATATAATTATACACATAAAGTAAAAAAGAAAAAGAAAATACTAAAAAACACTAAAAGTTAATAACGTAGTATTAGGAATAGTATTATAGCAGTCAATGTAACATCTTGGATGGAACTGGCTAATTTATTTAAAGAGCAAAACTTTCAAAGCTCATTCAAGAAGAGACAGATAATCTGAGTCACTTAATGTATACTGAAATCATTAAATTTGTAATTAAAATTTTTCCCACAATATTAACTCTAGATACAACAGACTTTACTGTGAAATTATACAAACTACTTAAAGAATTATATATAATACTATTTCTGCACAAATTCTTCCAGAATAGTAGCTAGAAGGAAATACCTCAAAACTTATATGAGGCCTACATTATATGACATCAGTATCTCAGCACACTATCACCAGAGAACTAAAAACCAACATCTCCTACAAAAATAGCTTCAGAGTTTCTAATCAAACTTCTAGCAAGTTGCCTTCAAAAATTGGTAAAACATACAATAAATGATGACCAAATAAGGTTTATGTCAGGGCTCTAAGACTGGTTTAACAGTGTGGTTCACCATTTTAACAAACTAATAGAAATAAGATCATCCCAGTGGACATTAAAATAGCATCTGAAAAATTCTAACATCCGTTTTTCATTTAAAAATTCTTAACAAAGTAGGCTTGAAGAGAAGTTCTTGAGTCTGATAGAAGGTATTTACAAAAACTACTGATATATTAAATGATTAATTATTTAATATTTTCTTCCCTTAGGCCAGCAGTAAGACAAAATTTTCTGTTCTCTCAATCTAGAAATCAACTTGGGAGAATTGACATCTTGACTATTGAGTCTTCAAACCAATGACCATGAGTGGCCCACCTCTCTACTCATTTAACATTAGTTATTTATTACTGTACTGGAGATACCATGTAATTAAGAAAATAAATAAATAAAGGTATGTCTAATGGAAAGGAAGTAAAATGGTCTATACCCACAGACAGCTTGACTATGTAGAAAATCCAATAGACTTTGCTAGATTCCAGTAGAAACTTCTAGAACTAATTATTTATACAATGATCTTGTATACATACAAGATCAAAATGAAAATCAAATGGATGTTGTGCTGGATAGCTTTAGTGTCAACTTGACACACCTGGGTTGAAGGAGCCTCAACTGGGGAATTGCCTCCATTGTACTGGCCTGTGGCCATGTCTGTGGGGCTTCTTCTTGATTACTAAGTGATGTGGAAGGGCCCAAGCCACTGTGCATGGAGCCACCCCTGGGCAGGTGGGCCTGTATTGTATAAGAAAGCAGGTTGAGTAGGGGCCCAGGGAGCAAGCCAGTAAGCAGCATTTCTCCATGGCCTGTGCTTCAGCTCCTGCCTCCAGATTCCCGCCCTGAGTTTCTACCTTGGGCTCCCTGATGAACTGTGACTTGGGAGATGTAAGACAAATAAACCCTTTCCTCCCCAAGTTGGTAGTGGTCAGAGTGTTTTGTCATAGCAATGGAGAATCAAACTAGAACAGATGTCCATATCATGGCCAGATTAGAAAAAATTTCAGGACTGGGAAGAGAGCTTTGTGAGTATGGCATTTGCCATGCAAGCATAGAGATAAGAGTTCAGTCTCCAGAGCCCATATGAAAAGCCCACTGTGCTGGTG